TTTTGGTCCGTCCGGAACCGACGGCCGGACGGCCGGCCAGGTTAAAAATTTTTTTTTTAAAATACTTCCGGCAAAAAAAAAAAAAAATTACCTTGTTGGAGAAGAGTCCTTTGCCGATGCCGTAGGATTTTTTCGACAATTTTTTGGATTTTTTTTAATGCTCGAATCGTTCGTTGAAGTTTGGAAATTTAGAGAGATAGAAAATTCAGAAAAATGAAATCCAAAAAAGGGTTAAGAAAAATGAAATCCAAAAAAGGGTTAAGGACAAAAGAGTAAATGAGGAGTGACTAATAAAAAGGGGCGGTGAATAGCAGTTGAGCACGCACACGGAAGAGAGTTAACATTTTAAGTTCGCAACAGGTGTGTATACCATCACACAGAACATTTCCGTATTCACTGGAATTCTCACCATTACCAGTCCACAATCTAGACACCTCCAAAATGCACAAAACACTCTCATATTTAAATACTTTTCCTTTATTTTCTTAAAAAAATAATAAAGATAATAAAGAAAATAAAACTCTCAAAAAATCGCCGTGAATCGTGAGTTCATGACCACTACGCACGCCCCTCAACAAAAATAATCCAAAACAGCATTTTATCTGACAGAAAAAACACATAAATTCAAACTAGATATATTTTAGCCTTTTAGGAACTCAAGGCTGCTATTTCTAAGGCCGCTCGCTCTCCCTATCTCTCTCCCTTCACCGGTTTTCAACCTTTTGAAGCCACTGGAGTTTCATTCCCTCCAAATCCACAAACCCTAATTAATTCCCCCTAATTTATTCTATCCGCTTCCTGCCCTATATTCGTACTGCTCTCTTCGTCTGCTCCATTTTGTTCTAATCCCTAGTTTGAAGTTGAATCTTGCAGCCGCGATCTGTGAGCCAATGATGCACAGCTCGGTGGAATCGACGGCGGTGTCGACGGATGTCCATCTATACGCCTCAACTTGACGGACCTGAGCGACGATCGGAAGCCGTAAGGCAACTGTGCGCATGCAAGGAAACGGAACCGAGGTGAAGAGCGGTACTCTGATCAATAAGGATAAGTTGCCAGCGGCCGGTTGAAATAAAATCACTTTTGTAAGGGTGAATTGCAACGGGTAAAGCTAGTGTGAAAGAAAAATTGAACATTGAACATTGAGATGGACGGATACGGTAGTGGTGGATGCGGCAGCCATAAAATTGGAGCTGAGGATGAGGCCAACACTCCTCCTCTTCCTAAAAGGGTTGGTAGTAATATTATGTGTTTGTATATGTATTATATATGAATTTGTTCAATTGTTTTTTTATTCTGTTCATTGTGTACTCTCAATTTGTGTATTTTATTGGTTTTCTTTGATTTACTTCTTATTTTCTTTCTTGTTTGGAGGTGAGAAAATTGGGAAGAAAGATTTTTTAGGTGTAGAAATGTGTTGTATACTGGGGTAAGGTTTGCCTCTTGTTTAGTTTGTGATGCGATGTAAAGTTTGCTTAAAATTAGTTGAAACTGGCTTTTCTTTTAGGGTGGGAATCATGTACAGGTTAGTAGTTGTTGGTTTTTAGTAGCATGCCATTGCTCTATGTGGTATTTTCTGTAAATTTGTCTTTTAAGGCAATATTTTTAATAGATGTTGCTTGAGAAATTATGGGGAAGCTTTGGGTATATCCCTGCAATATGTTTGCATGGGTGATTAAATGTTGTCTTTGTTTTGCATTTCTAGTGTGATGTGTTGATTCATTTTTAGTATCATTTGATTCTGAGTGGATCAAGTTCTTTGCTGTTATCATGTGGGAAAAGTGGACATGAAGTATTTGGTTTTATGAAAAAAGTTAATGTTTGCAAGGTTCTTGTCTGTGTATCTCATTTTTTGGAAGTTTGTTTGAGTTTAAATCTTATTTACTATAAATCTTTCGGTGTATTGATTTATGGACCACCTTTCGATTAGCATTTTATTTTTCTGCATTAGGTCAAGGTTGGTGGTTCACCTGCTTATCGAATTGAGAGGAAACTGGGAAAAGGAGGATTTGGACAGGTGTATGTAGGTCGCCAAATCAACCCCCTAAATCCAAATGAAAGAACAGGTCCACTGGCTGTAGAGGTATATTCATCTACTAATTCTTTTTATTGATTTTTGGGAGTACATTGTTTTTATAATTGAAGCATTCCTTACTCCTATAGGTTGCATTGAAGTTTGAGCACAGGAGCAGCAAAGGCTGTAATTATGGGCCACCTCATGAATGGCAAGTCTACAAGTGAGCTCCTCTCTCTCTCTCTCTCTTTAAACTATCTTGTTAAGTTTCTAGATGCTTTTCGTGTCTTTTCTCATTCAAACATTATGAAATAATTAATGTATTTTGATATTTCTGCTCTAGCACACTTGGGGGTAGCTACGGCATACCACGCCTGCATTTTAAAGGGCGACAAAGTGAATACTATATTATGGTAATCCATCTCTCATGCAAATTTGAGTTTTTCCAGGTTTTCTTACATATGTTTGTTTGTTCCCAACTTTTAATGTGACCATCCTTATAATCTATCAGGTTATGGATATGCTTGGCTCTAGTTTGTGGGATGTTTGGAATAATAAGTCTCCATCGTAAGTCTCACTCCAATAAATAAAATTTAGGAATTTCATATTCTTGTTTTCCTCTGCTTGGTATTGCATCTAATATCTCATCTCTCTTGCAGAATGTCCACTGAAATGGTGTCGTGTATTGCCATTGAAGCAATCTCCATTTTAGAGAAGTTACACTCTAGAGGGTGATTTTTCCTAAATTACACTTGAATTGTCATGACTAACTGGAGCTTGAAGATAGAAGATAATGTTTAATCTTAGTCATGACTGGTTATAACAATAGTTTCCATGTTTGTACTGAAATTTAATGAAGTGGGTTTTATCTTTGCTGCTTGGAATATGTATTGCTATGCATAAAATGTTGTCCCATGTACCCATACTTTGAGATTCATTTTACACTTTTGATTACTGTATGTGCTCCAGATATGTGCATGGGGATGTAAAGCCGGAGAATTTTTTGCTTGGTCCACCTGGAACACCTGATGAGAAGAAACTTTATCTTGTTGACCTTGGATTGGGTGAGCTAGTTATTGTTAAAATATTAAAAAAAAAAAAAAAAATTCTATGAATGTAATGGTGTGTACCTTATCCTGCTCTTGCTTGTAGCTACCCGGTGGCGCGATAACTCCACATCCCTGCATGTTGATTATGATCAACGTCCAGATGTGTTCAGGTGGAATTGTGATTTCACGATTTTTTTCTCCCCTTTATCTTTGAAGCTCACCTGACGTACCTGAAAAGTAAATATTAAAAAATACAAAAAAGTAGAAATCTCTAGAAAACACTATATAACTGAAGTTCTAACAAAAAACCCCCTAAGGTGTGAAAAGTAAATTCTTAAAAAACTAAGAACTAAAAAACCCAGAAAAAGAAATAATAATAAACAACTGTAGGGGAAATTTAAAAAATTAAAAACCTAAAAGGAACACTGAAAAGCACTAAAAATGGCTCTTTTCAATTGTGTGCCTTTTGGAAAAATTTTTGTTGTGGTTAAAGAAAATATTGTTTTTACAGGGGGACTGTTCGTTATGCCAGTGTACATGCTCATCTCGGACGAACTGGTAGCCGTAGGGATGATTTGGAGTCACTTGCATATACTCTTATCTTTCTTATCCGAGGCCGGCTTCCTTGGCAAGGGTACCAGGTCAGAAATGGGTGTCATCATTAACTTTTTTTTTTTTTGTTATGTTTTGAAGTTTTCGTCTGATTCTTATATGATGTGTCTATTTAGGGCGAGACTAAAAACTTCGAGGTGTGCAAAAAGAAGATGGCTACTTCGCCAGGAGCTCTTTGCTCCCTCTGTCCTGCACCTTTTAGACAATTTCTTGAATTTATTGTTAACTTAAGGTTTGACGAGGAACCTAATTACGCCAAATATATTTCACTTTTTGATGGAATAGTGGGCCCTGATTCAATCATCAGGCCTCTCAATATTGAGGGAGCACGGAAGGTACATTTGTATGAATTGTTCTGAATGTGTAAGTGTGTGTACATAAACATCTTTGAAGGTGCATATGTGTGTTTACATAAACATCACATCTTTTCCGTATCTTCACATGTATGCATATCATGTATCTATATATATTTATTCTTTCCACATCTTTTGTGCGTTTACATCATGAAATGTGCATTATTATGTATGCATACATGTGCATAAAATGTACTTTTTTGCATTTTGAAGCTCGTACAAGTGGTGGGACTAAAGAGAAGTCGGCTTATGATTGATGATGATGTGGACGAGGAGCCAAAGAAAAAGCTTCGTGTCGGGACATCTGCATTACAGTGGATTACTGTGTACAATGCTGGACCGCAAATAAAGCAAAGGTATCATTGTTTTAACTAAAATTTTTCTTCTTGATTTGTCTGGAGTTTTAAGTTCAGCAATTTTTTTTTGTTTTTATCTTGCAGGTATCACTACACTGTCGTGGATTCGAGATTAGCTGCACATATTGGAAAAGGATACGCAGAAGGATTGTCTATCTCCAGTGTGGCGTCGTGTTCCAACATGTGGGCTGTAATTATGGAGGGAGGGACTGGCATCGCTACTCAACTATATACACTTTCATCTTGTTTCCTTGATAAGGTCTTGTGCTTTTGTGCATTTATGCTGAAACGATGAGTGGTCATTTTAATTATTTGAAAAAAATATATTAAATAAAATAAATTAACTAAAAATTGGAAAGAGTTAATTAGAGTAAGTTAATGGTTACATTGTTTTTAGTAAGGTCTATTGTATGGATAGATATTCTAGTTTATATGCACGCTGAATTATTTGTTATAATATTAATCTACTGACCCAATTGGAATACTGTTACTGTGTTAGTGCTATGTAGGCAGGCAAATTAAATTTTGTTGCATGAACTGCAGGAATGGATCATGGAACAATGGGAAAAGAAATATTACATCACTGCAGTGGCCGGAGCTGACAATGGGAAGGCAGTGATTGTTATGTCCAAGGGTTCGCTTCACCAAGCAATGCGGCATATTTTTATTTTTATATTTGTTCTCATTGTCATGAATGATAAAACTAATTATCTTTTTTATCTTAAATATAAACAGGTACCCCGTATAATCAGCAATCTTATAAAGTAAGTGATTCTTTTCCGTTCAAGTGGATAAACAAGAAATGGAAGGAGGGTTTCCATGTGACCACCATGGGCACCTCGGGGACGAAATGGGCAATTGTTATGTCTCGTGGTGCTGGGTTTTCAAAACAGGTATGTTTCTGTAAGAGTTTCTATTTTTATTTCTACCTCTTGTTTTAGCAACCTAGATGGTTAAGGCCTGAAAATGCATATACAATCTTTGCAAAACAAATTCATCCCACTTAATAAATAGTGATGTAAAAATGATGAAAATGAATTGAATTGATTGATGCAGATATGAGATAAAATTTGTAAAATAATGATTGAGAATTTTGTGTTGCTATTTTTAATATTATGATGAAATTGATGGGAGGAAGGAAACCCATTCAAAGCATTTTACAGACGGGCTTTCTTTAATAGAATATATAATTTATTGTTATTGAGCTCGTAAAGGGGTTATAGTATAGTAATGATTCTGTTTTCATTAAAAAAATTGTTGATTAAATTGAGAGGAAAACTGACAATGATTTCACCGTAATTTCATCAATATTTTTATATCCAGTCGCAACTTTTAGAGAAAAGTGTTCATTTGGTGGAATGAAAATTTGATACTTAAGTATCCAATCACAGCTATAATTTCCTTGCAATTTGGGTTCCAGGTTGTGGAGTTAGACTTTCTTTATCCGAGTGAAGGTATTCATCAGAGGTGGAATGCCGGTTATCGTATCACGTCAACTGCAGCTACATCTGATCAGGCTGCCATTGTTCTTAGTATTCCAAAGAGAAAAACTCGAGACCTAGTGCAGGAGACACTCCGGACTACTGAATTTCCGACTACACATGTCAAGGTTGGGTTCAAATATATAAAGTAATGTATATATATATATATATTCATTTTTTCCGTGGTGTGTCAATGGTCTGTAGCCAGGATGACAATCATTTAACCTCACAACTTTTGTTTTTTCAAAATTTCTGTATGTAACTCTGGAATTTCACTATTTTTTTATGTTTATTTTTCGCTAACTGCTTTTACGAGGGATAACCAGGACAATCATTGGTTATTTTGGTTTTTGAAAAATCATTGCACACCTCTACCCTCTGCCATTGGTGTGACTGACATCTTGAATGTCTTTTGCTCGTCCTTCCCTTCCTATTCTTTTTTTTTTTGCATTTATCTTTTCCCATTTTTTCTCAGAGTTACCTTTTGCCGCATGCAGGAGAAATGGGCGAGATCTCTTTATATTGCATCTGTATGCTATGGGAGAACAGTTTCTTGATGCATTTGGTTTAGCACATCTCATTTTGTGGAGGGATTTACTGAGCGTTTTCCGGCTTATTAGCAAGTGCCGGTATTTCTTTCATTGGTTTTTATGTACGCTCTACTCATATTGACGCGTAGGAAGTATATGTAACATACTGACTAGACTGAGGTTGCATTGCATCTAAATATGGCTGGTCCAGTTCTTTCTTTCTTTTTTCTTTCCTTTTTTTTGGTTAAAAAAAAAAAATAATCTTCAGTGTGTTTATTATGTGCACACTTGCGAGAAGTTTGTATAGCGTTACTTGAAGCCATATTGGACAGGCTCTAAGTTAATTACTTAAATCGGTGTTGTATTTCTATACATTCAGAATTTGCAATGGAGGGCTCAATGTATCAACTAAATGCCCAATTTTCCCCAGTTCTTTGGATTTTGGAACTTTATGTTTCAACTTTCAAGTCCCTCTGATGCGATGGTTTGCTCGTTCGTGTGAATAAAATTCTGTTGTGGTACATTACATGGGACCGACTACAATCAGGTAGCCTCGTACATACCTAGCATCAATATTTTCCTAATCACTATTAGATTGACTAAAAAATGAATATTAAACATTGATTTAATGTACGAAGCAAAAAGGAATGGGAATTTACACTTCTGCTATAAGATTTGTAAAATGTTGAGTATTTATAGCCAACCAAATCTTATTTGCATATATACCTAAATGATATGATTTAATTAGATCTTTACCATACAGTAAATTTTCAAAACGCAAACGTCTTCTCCTCTTAATTAATAGGTGATAACAGTCGNTAAAAAAAAAAAAAAAAAACTACTAGGTGAATATGGTAATGTTATATATCCAATATAATATCATATTTGATCGAAAAAACAGAAAGCCAACGAGTTTTGAGGCAACGAAATATAAAGGTAGACCCAATTTTTGAATAGGCAGTATTATTGCGTTTATATTTAGTATATGTTCAGCTTTTTTTGAATAGGCAATATATATTGCGTTTATAGTCCGTATATAGTAAGGGAGTAATTACCTCATATTTGTTTATGTCAAGATTATATGACTTTAACGAAAATAATCATTTGTGCTTGATTTTGTTTATCTCTGGTTTATGTTAAGTATATAAAAATATACAACATACATATACATAAAATATACACTCGAGATTCTCGTAATTCAAGCCAGCGGCAGATCGGGACACACATATATATAAAATATACTTTAAATATACACTCGAGTTTCAATCGCTTCTCAAAATCGATTTCAGAACCCACATATACATAAAATATACATAAGATATACACTCGAGATTTTCGGAGTTCAAACTAGTGACAGATCGAGACACACATATACATAAAATATAAATAAAATATACTCTCCATGTTCAATCATTTTTCATTTCAGAACCCAAATTAAGACCAGAAACCGTGGCCATGACCCTCTTCTCTGCATCCGCAAACTCATAACGAAGCTTCTCGGCCTAGCCGACCATCGAGAGAGAGGAGTGGGATGAGCGACTCGAATTGGGCGGCGGTAATCGGGTACCTCGCTAAGAGGAATCGCCCGTGCTGGAGGCCGTTGAACAGCGGGAGAAAATATGACGCGACGGAGATTAGGCGATCGACGGTGGGGATGGGTGTGTGGGCGGAGGCGGAAGTCTTTGGGATAGAACGGCGGTGAAGGGGCGGTGGTGGTAGGTTAGATCTGAATCGCCCGTACTAGAGGTTGTTGAATCGCGGGAGGAAATGCGACGCGGTGGAGATTGGGCGATCAGGGGATTGGTGGGTGGGCGGAGGCGGAGCTGCGAAGGGGAGGTGGGGGGAGGAGAATAGCGGCGGATTTGTAGAAGAAGAAGATGATGATGATGATGATGATGATGAGAGAGAGAGAGAGAATAAGAGAGCATCGTGATAATTATAGCTCCCATTAAATCTGCTTTTACCATAATTAAAAACAATTATCTGTTGCTCAATAATCTAGTATGTTTGTAAATAAATATGATAGTTTTAGTTAATTTGCAAATAAATATATATGAGTTGTAAATATGTAATAAAAATGTTAATGTGTAGTGGAGAAGGTAATTTCCTCAAAAAGAAAGTTGGACGCCTCGTACATTGCCTCGTGTGCTTCGTACATTTGGGGTGAGCATTGGTCGATACGGTTTGGAGATTGAGAAATCTTCAGAACCGTACCAAAATTTGGGAATCACTAAATTTGATATCCGGTATCATACCATAAAACGGGGACGATTAAGTTCGAAAATTTTTATTTTTCGGTTAGACTTGGTTCAGTATTCTGGACTATCAGAACGATTTAGTTCAGTATGGTTCGGTTCGGATCTTCGGAGATTTTTTATTTTAAAAAAATAATGACTACTTAGTTATATTTTAATTTTTTTTGCTTTACAAAAAAACAGCATTCATCAATACTTCATCATATTGAAGATTTTATTTGAAATCAACTTTAGAAGTAGCTCTAAATTTTATTTATTTAATCTTTATATGCTTTAAAAAAGCCAACATTCATCAATACTTTCTCATATTAAAGATTATATTTTGAAATCAACTTTAGAAATAACTCCAAATTTTAGTTAAGACTAAATTTGTGCAACTAATACTGAAAATTTAAAATTCAAATAAAATATAATATAGTTTTTCTTACAAAAATCTTTAATACCATTTTAAATAATATTTTTTGTAACACGAAAAATTCAATTGTAGATCCTCTTAGTGCAGCCTCCATTGGGTGCTCTCCGGTGGGACGCACACGACTTCCCGATCAAGTATTACTAAGCATGAAATTTAAGTGAAGCTTAATTGTTATTACTATATTTTATTTGCATTTTTAAAATTCTCAAATTATATAGGATCAATGTTGACATAAAATATATTAATAACACTCTTCTAATGTTATACTTCGGTTCTTAATTTTTGTTCTTCGGTTAGGTACGGTATAGCATAGTTCGGTTCAGGTCTCGGTACAGATATTTGTGAAATCTCCAGAATTGTACCAATTATTTTTGCGGTTCGGTTCGGTTTTTGAAATGGTTCGGAATTCTCCGAGTCTCATGCTCAGCCCTATCGTACATGCTAAAACCCTATTTTGCCTTTACTATACTTTAAATTAAAAATAAATTATAAAATAATATTTTTATTTACTTTCAAACCCATATATTTATCTTATTCACATATCAGTTGATATGAAATATCCTACTAGACCAGTTTTAATGGATAAGAAAGAATATATTGAAGAATAAACATACACATGAGCTAGAACATGTGGCATAATGGTATTGGTCAAGCCCATAAAAGGGGCCTAAGGTCAAAAACATATTCTCTCTACATTCATGATTATACTCTCATATTACACACTTTATCTCTGGCTAGTGCTGACTTAAGCATCAGAGACTCGACGCCTGGACCCCTCCCGGCGTTGAGTTCTTGCAGGTACAGAGGTCGTCCGAGTTGAAGGAGCTAGGGTGAAGTCCATTTCACCAACATTGGCGCCGTTTATGGGAACCTTAAAAAGCCAAAGAATCGACCATGGCAAACGGAGTTCTGACCGAAAAATTTTGTAAAATTTCCAGTTACCTCCTTAATCTCCACCGGCCACCACCTCCACCGCCGGCCAAAGTGCTCCGATCGAAAATCTTTTTACATCAACGGGTAGATCTTATCGAGGTGATTCATCCCTTAAAATTTCATGCTAAAATTCCACAGGGAAGGTCTTCAATTTTGCCGGTCAAACATTCCAGATCTAGGAAATTTTGGTCAACATCCGACCTTCAAATCTATTTTTCCGGCGATCCGTAAGGGCTATGAAAACTCCGAGGGTACAACCGGAATCCTCTAACCAAGGCGAATCTACAGAAACTTACCTTCATCGGTCGTCACCGGCCAAAGTCCTTCGATCGAAAATTTCTTTTTATCATTGCGAAGCTCTTCTCACGCTCGTCCTCCTCCAAAAATTTCAAGTGAAAATTCCACCGGGAAGGCTGTCAATTTTGCCGGTCAAACGTTTTGTAGCTAGAAAATTTGTCAACTCCGGTCTTCTTCTCCTATTTTCCGATGATTTCCGACGACCCACTTCAAAGCGAGGGCACCATTGAAATCTCCTCGTCGAGGCGCACCCTCGGTCTGTCACCTCCACTGGAACCGACATTATTTTCGGTGGCATTTTTTCCGACGAGCCCCACCCACTGTGCTCCCTGTCCAGGCACCAGCCCAGCAGCCCGCGTCCAACCCGAAGACGAGGCCCACACGTTTGTTCCCTACAACCGCGTCCAGCTCGAAGAGGAGACCCAGGAGCTTGCGCCCTGCGGCCCATGTTCATGCCAGTGAGGAGACCCAATATGCGGCCAGCACAGAGGCCTATCTCGCAGCAGCTTCAGCACGCGGGCCGCGTCCAGCCCTCGCGGTTCGCGTCTCTCACAGCGTTCGCCCGTTGCGCTTCTCACAGTCCCAGCCCGCGTTCGGCCCACGTCCAACTGCCCCTTAGCCCACGTCCAACGCGCTCCCTCGGCCCAATACTATTTATTCGCGGCCCAGAGAGTGAATCCGTGCTAGTCCGTGGTCCAGCATCGGTCCAGACCAGTCCAGCAGCCCCAGTTCGAGCCCAAGGCTATTTCGGGACGATTCAACTTGGATGGGGAGCCCACGACGAGTCCGGAACGATACGACGAGGATGGTAAGGTAACCTTAGGCAATGTTACCATGGTGCATGTATGACGTTAATTTAAATTTGTGATCGAAGGATTTTAAATTGGTGAAAACTGAAAAATTATTCGGTTTATTCGTTGCACTTGGAGAGGCGAACGATATTTTACGTAGCATTAATTAAACAAGTTTGGTTGAAAATAAATGTGATATTTCGTGATTGTGTTTATCGTATGTTTGGTGCGTTTATCAATTTCTATCAGTGGACTCAGAGACATTGGTTAAAATTAAACTAATGAGCTTGATATTAAGAGCAACCCAGTTGAATTTTCGATTGGTGAGCATGTGGTTTGAATTTAAATATTTTGCAAGCAAAATTATACCTGTTGAGTGCAAGAGACATGTGGCACGCATGAAGCACTGGAAAATGCTTATTCACTTGTGGAATAATCAGTGGAATTTTGTTTGAATTGATTATTCATAATTTTTAAGCATGTCATTGCTCAAGCATGTCTGAAAACAAGGAGGTGGTGGTGTTTGTAATTTATCTCTTGTTTTTCTTGCGTGGACAATTGCAAAATGGATGACATGAATATAATATAGCTAATGATATATCTTTGAATTCTTGTCGAGGGAAATCCATGACCATGGGGACCAGACATTTATATAAACTCTTTGTCAAGGTAATTCGTTCCTCGATGAATGGTGTAGAAAAATCATGAGGATATGTTGGAAGCATGAATCTTTGAGTTTCAAGGACAAAATCATGAGGACATGCGGAAACAATGAAATGACTCAAGTCTTAACAAGCTATTATAGATGAGTCTTTGAGTTTCAAGGACAAAATGAAAAAGCATGAATCCATCAAAGCGTGGTTATAATGGGAGACGAGTTTTGAAGGTGTCGATAGTCGGTGGCAGTCTTAAAAGCAGAAATCATTCTCTTTTTGAGAGATAGGATAATTTGGAGTGTTATTCTCGACCATCAAGTATAAAATTAATCATAACTCTT